GATTGATCTTTAGTATGGACTCAAACTAGAGCCGTAGCTAGCTCCTTTTGCGCCTGAGGCGCCATTGTACTATGTGTCCCCAGTTATTTACAAACACTGGAGTGATCAGCTGTCTGCTCCAGTGTTTGCTCTGCAGACAGACGATAAGTACCTATCAATGATATGTACCGTTCCTCCGCCGCTCGCCCACACACAGGGGTGGCACAGTTTGCAGCTTCTCCTCCGATCCCCACTGCTCTCCCCCGCTTCTATGGGCAGAGGTGATCTGAGGAGAAGTGAAGCGCTGAAGCCGTCAGGGGGGGTGGAGGGGTGGAGGAGGTAGCCGCTGTCACAGCAACATAGCCAAGCGGTGAGGAGAGAGAGAGCCGCCAGCTGTCAGATCCTGGCCGAGCAGCTCTCTCTCCTCACCGCTCGGCCATGCTGCTGTGACAGCGGCTCCCTCCTCCGCCTCCCCCTGCCGGCTGCATTGCTTCACTTCTCCTCGGATCCCCGCTGCCTCTGCACATACAGATGGGGAGAGCAGCGGGGATCCAGAGGAGAAGCTGCAGGCTGTACCGCCCCAGTTCTCAGTGTCGTGCTGAGCCCTGGCTGTGCCCCCCACACCAGGTTTTGAGGCGAGAGCCTCAGTCACCTTGGCTTCGCTATGGCCCTGGCTCAAAATTCCCTTGGATTCCACTTTTGCCTGCTTTCTGCCCTTACCTCCAGCTTGCTATAGAACCATACTTCCCTGCCACCTGCTCTGACCTCTAGCCTTTCTGACTTTGTTCCTGTTTGGCGATTCTTCGCTGCAGTTGACTCTGCTTTGAAGTTTGTCTGTCACTGTTCGGGCAATCCCAAATGTCATGTCTTTTTGCTCTCTGCAGCGCAATATTTGCACTTTCAATGGCTTTGAGGAAGATCTGACACACCAGAGTTGTGCTTCAGTAAGAACCATCCACCTGCTGTTTCCACCACACTCCATGACACATTTAAAAGAAGACAACACTACCCCAAACCAGAGCATGTAGTGTGTCAGGTAAAAATTCTGTTAATTTTGAAGACTGCCTTAGGGCAGGAAACAATCATCAAGCTACATAAAAACTACCTTGGTGCAATCATGTGACAACTGCCCTGTGCTTTCAAGCTGGTAGGTTTGTTTTAAAAAGCCAACATCACAGAGGTTTAGGAAACGTTTGTGTGATTCACTGTTCACCTTTGCCAATTTGTGGTTAAGAGAAATAGCAATCTATGGCCAGCCCTTGTAAAATACTCTTGCAATTGAATGTAATAATAGTTCTTGTCTTTGATGTTTTTTAGAAACTGTGAAGAACTAAGACTGCAAGTTATTATTTTGTCTGTCCCAGACAGAGAAATCGCTATAGACACAATTTAAAAATAAATAACTAGTAACTGTTCATTTTCAGCTGTCAGCAATTCTGTTACGTGAACATATTTTCTGTGACAGATTTCATCACATTTCATCAAGCAGCTTCCTGTGAGGTGTCAGCACACTGTGCAAATTCAGGTGTCGACACTTCAAAATATGTGTATGTTTTAGATGAGGGTGAACTTTTAAAGCTAAATTTCAGGCTTATACAGTACTGTGCAAAAGTTTTAAGCAGGTGTGAAAAAAATGCTGTAAAGTAAGAATGCTTTCAGAAATAAAAGTGTTATTTTTTTTAATCAATTAACAAAATAGAAAGTAAATGAGAAGATAAATCCAAATCCAATCAATATTTATCAACTCTTGCAGTGGGGCTACCACCGCACAGCAACAGTTAAGTGCTTGTTTGTGTCTAGCTGCTAAAATAACAAAGATATATAATGTTATTCACTCGGCTGCCTAAGGCAAAAAAAACGGCGTGGAGGGGGGGGGACTTTTGATTTTTTTGTGCCTTAACAAACACATTCCTGCAGCACACAGGTGTAAACCTACCCTAAAGAGGGCAAAGTTATAGGGGAGAATTTATAAAAACTGGAGCAGACAGAATTTGAAGTAGTTGCCCATAGTAACCAATTTGTTTCTCTCTTTCGATTTCAAAGCTTAACTGAACAAATTGAAGATAGAAGCTGATCGGTTGCCATGGGCAACTGCTGAAGATTTTGTCTGCTCCAGTTTTGATAAATTCCCCCCATAGAGTATGTGAAAAGATTGTTAGGGCCACGGAAGCAAAATAGGAGAAGTGGCCCCATGGGATTGTCGCCGCTATCACCCAGGTGTTTTTTTAAACTAATTATATGTGAATAGAGGTGTGGAGTGACTGCCATGTACATGTCTCTCTGGGACTGCTTTGCTGGTTCTTTCTGCTTTGTCTTTCAGGTTACAAGCTGCCTGCTGTTGCTAGGAAGATTTACCTCAGTTGCTGGACAGACCTTCAGTCAGCTGAGCACAGGATTGGTGACAGACTTTTGGCGGGAAAAACAGCTGACCAATGAGTGTAATCTTTCCCCCCTTTATAGTCACTCCTGTCACTGGACAGTGTCAGCATTTTACCTCAGAACTGCCAGCTGGACTCACCTCTGGATTATCTTCACAATTCATTTTGGATCTTTTCACCTGCTTCCCGCCCACCCTCCCCTTTACTGTACTTTCCCTTGTCGCGGTCAATCTTTATGGGGTAATGTCGCCCACTTTGTGGGTGGACAGTGGTTGGTAAACAGTAATTTGGTTGGTGTAAGTTATTGCTGCTTGAGTCTTGATGACTAAGCATGGTGGTCTGTTAATGGTTAACAGTGGTTCTGTTTGGTAATAAAGGTTAAAGTCTATTTATTGGTTAAATTAATTAAAACCCAATAAAGGTGCCGCGGCCTAGTTATTCCACAATCGTTGTTGTGTTTTACTTTATTATTTAAGTTTATTGTTATGGTATGATGGGTGTCAATGGGGTGTACAATCCCATGTCCCATCCAACTCACTGATACCTATCCTAGGATTCCAAGGCTCTAACACATCTGGCAAAAATTCCAGGTATCGAGGAGCAGGTAACCTCCTCCCATGTGACACTTAGGTCTTGTTCACACCTAGGCGTATTGCATATGCGCGACAAACGCGCGGTTTTTACCGCGAATCGCGGTAAAAAAAATCGCACGACAAACGCGCGTTTCCGAAGGCTACTTGGCTGTATCCCAATCGAAACGCGCAACAAAACGGCCCAAAGTAGTACATGTACCTTTTCAGGCGTGGGCCGTTTTGTAGCGCATTAGGGACGGGCGGAAATACGCCAAGGTGGGAACGAGACCATTGAATACAATGGGATTTATATTTTTGAGCGTTTTGTAGAGCGTTTGTTGAGCGTACAACGCGATACAAAACGTTCAGGTGTGAACGAGGGCTTAGATTGGGAGCTAGGCCAAAATGCTGTCACATAACAGTGGAGGTGATGCCAGATTATAGATGCTCATTAAGTGTTTGGGTGACACTTCACACCTTAAAGAAGAAATTATTGGTATGGACAAACAATTCTGTCTTTATTCTGTTTACAAAATGTATTCCCATAGGTATCAAAAATGACAACACATTTAAAACCATTAAGGGCTAATTCATACCATGGGCAGCGCGCTTAATGCACAATACCATGTGTTTAGCACCGCTATTGCACAGAACACCTAGGTAATAAAGGAGCATGAAAGGTGAGCAGTGCTTTTGTTTTTGTAATATAATGGTAATTTGGAAGGATTACCAAACTGGACACCTACCACTAGCAACTGTAAGGTGATTAGAATATGGAAAAACCCTTATGGAAATTTCACATGACCACTTATGGAACATTCACATGACCCTTTTCACTATGTTGTATTATCTTGTCCAGGGCCTTGCTTTCTCGCACAGGGCGCCTAAAGGCCTAAGGCTGGCCCTGATCTTGTCTCTTTCCTTTTTTAATCCTATGTTTCCAACAGCACACAGAAAGCTACACTACAATGCAGACTGTACAAACCAATTATGTGCACATGCCTGTTAAGTTTTGGGGGGCTAAATAGCTGCTTAGGAATTCACGGCATAAGCGAGTCGATTCCTCCTGCCACACTAAACAGTGTAGATAGAGGAATTTCCCTGGTTGGCTATTGTATTCAGGCCACCGGCACCCACAGCTATCAGAATACCGGAACAGTGACTGCATCTGATTGGACACAATTTAATACCCAGCTCCATCGATTTTTCAATCAAAGTTTGTTGAGATGGGTGGTGGCGACAAGGCCAACCACGGCCAAATTTTTTTGCAGAAATTGAACCGTGTATAGCTTACCTTATGGAAATAAAAACACAAGTATTGCTTAATTTTAGCAAGTAAAAGCTAATCTAAGGAGCATCAGCTTCCTAATGCATTTGAAAAACATTTAATCAATGCTGAATTACCTAAAGTTGCTATAACACCCTTTATCTCCCATCTGGGAGTGTTGAATACAGATCCAAATAGTAGTGCTGCCTATTAAAGCAACCTCAAGTAGGTTTTACCTCTGCTTGAAAAGCGTTTTCTTCAGCTATAGCCAATACTCCAAATAATGCCTAATTCCAGTTTGGGCAGGTAAGCTTTAAAGTGTCCCTTTAGAACTTTAGATTAGTTCTGCTTGGGACTGAACACAATGGAATCAACTAGCCTCATTTAAAACCACTAGAATTACTGTGTGTGCATTTTTGGTGCAGATAAAAAAAAAAAGGTAACAGACAGCGTGAACAAGTTCGAAGTGCTTCAAGAGAGCTACATGAAGCTTGTTAAATACTTTGCAAATGGTTGCTAAAGATGGCCCTCTTTAGAATGTTGTTTATACGTTCCTAAACAATACTGGGGCATTATAGAGAAAAACTAGATGAGTGGAAGATCCAAGTACAGCAACCAGCATAAATAAGTTTCTGCATAAAAAAGTCTTTATGGTCTTCACTTGCACTAAAGCAGTGTACTTACGTTTAGATACAAATTTCCAGATACAGCAAGTTTATACAATTTCGACTGTTAAAAGGTGCAAAATGCACAAACCTCAATATAGTGTATATATAACTAAAGTACGTGATATCTGAAACTCACCTTCTAAATCATCAAAGCCAAGTACAATGTCTGAGAAATGTCCATGTCTATCTTTAGTTTCTAAGCAAGTTATTATACAGCCAAAGGATATAATTTCAACCTTGACAGACTCTGACTGAAGACGAAACCTTCTCACTCTGTGTCCTCCGGGCAGGGACCCATAAACATCACTTGTTACGGATGTCATTGCTCTGGCAAAAGCAGACTGTGAGCTGAAATAAATAAATATAGAGTCTAGCATTTACAATTTGTTTCTCTTTTCATCAATTAGACTGTTGATGCTAAAGTCCAGTTTCTGTTCTGAGCCTAAGGCTTCATTCACACTTTACAAAACTCCATGTGCATTTTTGTCCTCTATATGCTAAGGAAAATCTGACAGGCTAGATGCTGTGTTTTTTTGCTTCTAGATGCTTGAAATGATATGTGTTTATGCAGGTTTACATGCATATACATTTAGATGCAAATGGTGCCAAATCCTAGCATCAAAACATGTTTACATGTGTTTGCATGCTTTTACATGCATTTTGGTGTGTTTAGAAGTTCAAATCAGTTCCTACATGCACCTGACTTCAGTTTTTTTAAACGCAGTTAAACTGACCGCAGAATGATGCTTCTAGATGCAAGGTGTGAATATATTCATTAGATGCATATATATGTGTTTATAAAAGCTTTTTAAATGCATATAGCGGGAATGAAGCCTAAAGGCCCTATGTGCATGATAAATACAATACATGTGTCTAGGCATGTTTGGAGCTCATTTCTAAACATACTTAGTAGCATATAACACTTTGCTATTGCTAAATGCACACCTAGATATTCAGCAGTGTCTAGGCAAATTCAGTCTAGCTGCGTTTACACAAATAAGATTTTCTGTGTCCCAGGACCGTTTAGCCTGGTTTTACTTGTAAGTGTGGCTAAACCAAGGAACAGCTAAAACAGAGAAAAACATTTTCTGGGAAGCATAAAAATTGTTTATATTTCTCCTGTGTGTAACGCAGGTGGCCTTTGTACATAAAGCCTTAACATAGCAGCTCAAGTCATTGACCAACAATGGCCTTAGTGTTTTGCCAATTAAAGTGCAACATATTTGTTAGAATATTAAAAAACTTCTCTGCTTTGTGTCAAGCTGCTTCCTGACTGCTCTATAACATTTCCAGAACAGCTACTGGACCCTGCAGCAAAATGTAATCCAGAGCCTATTCATGTTCATTCCAAAAAGGTTCCAATGGATCTTAGTAACACTAACAACCAAACTGAAGGAAGGAGAGAGCAGAATCCTCTGTCCAGCAGCTATCACGGCTATATCCTCCGCAAACACATCCTATGACAGTGTATCAATGAGAAAGTTCAGATACAGTATATACAGACCATGTGCTGCCAGAGCAGCTTGTTTTTTGCCTTGGTTACTGTATTTGGCATGTTCCTCTGTTTCTCCCTTCCGTTTGGTGATAGTTAGTACACTCACTAGCTAGATAGCCCCTGCCTTTTTTTTAAACGCTCAATCTAGTCTTGCCTAGTAAGCTTAGGAAAGTCTTTGTCTTCTTACATTTCAAGAGACTGAAAAAAACATCCTCTGTATTGCACCAATCTGAAAAAAAAAAACTATGTTGGATTACATTTCTGTGCCTCAGTATAAGGAAATATATCAATATTTTGCATAAATCAGCAATTGAAACAAAACAGTTACAAGACAGATTCCTTCTTCACACTATGTTCTATCTGCTGTAAAGTTTTAACTGTGCCTCTGTAAGCATATGATCTCTCTGTGCTCACTTTTCGTACGACAATCGTAATGTGTGAATAGAGTGCCCGACAGATAGTACTGTACAATCGTACGACTTTTGACGGTCAAGCATGTTTGAAAACTTTGGTCGATCGTACGATGTTCGCATGGTTGGTGGCGCTTCCGTCTGTCAAAAGTCGTACGATTAACACTGCGCATGCGCAAACGAAAATAAATTGTGGTCAATTACCGCAAGTCGTCCAGGTGTTTTTTTTTAAACTACCGCTGATTGAACCTTGCAGGATGGGGCCGTCGTACGAAAATCGTACGACGGTTCGATCATCGGACGGAAAGTTTTGTACGATAATCGTAAGGTGTATGGGCACCTTAAGAATTAGCAGATTGTTTTAATTCTTCCTAAATAGATTCCCAGCATTTTATAGTTCAATTGGGATTTAGCGTGGCCCTAGCATTAGACATTCTTTTCAGGTTAAAATGTATGTAAATGCAAAAAAATTAAATAATTTGAACTATTCTTTTCATTACCAATACCATGACACTTTCCTGTAGTTTTAAAATATATAGCAGTCTAATCATAGATGGAGAGGAAACGCTTCCTCCAGGCTGCAGCAGACTGATAACATCATCTCAGGTATAGTTACTGACTAGAGCTCAAACACTGCTATTTAACGAAAATAGAAACCGCTTTTTTGGAAGGTGTTACTCTGTACGCTGTATATTGTGACTCGCCATTAATTTATCCTTGCAGTTTCACTTTAATTCAGTGTACTAGTCGGAATGTTTAGTACGTACTAATTCCAAACACGCCTAATTATTTTTTATTATTGTGAAGTGAACCTATGTAACTGCTACAATAAATTATTGAAAATGTGATAATTGACTAATATCTAATAACTAAAGGCAAACAGACCATTACTGTGTCCCATTAGCAGCAGAAAAGGCAGCTAAAGTGCAGTGAAGAAGGAAGAGAAACAAAAAAAGTGTTAAGACCCAAGTGAAAATGAAGGCTGCTGGCCAGATGATGCAGACCTGCTCAATAGCTAAGCAACAGCCTGCTGATTCACTAATGAGAGCTCTTGGTAGCATATGAGATGTGGTGGGTATATGGGCTGGATGTATTGTGCTGTATGGGATGGGAGTTTGTTGGAAATGGGGACATGCTTCAGAAGTAGTGACAAGCTTGGGCTTGGTGCAAACCCATTTTGTCTGAGGTCTCCCCAAGCCCCTTGAAAACTGTAACCCACACACCCACGCCCAGCTCAATCAGTTGCTGCAGGCACATTCTCCACCCCAACTTTAGCTACAAGTTAAAAAGGGGCAGGAATGCCCCCATCGCAACTGCCAGTCAGTCAGTCAGGCAAATCGAGTTCACAACAAGCCCAAGCTATTCAGGAGACAGCCATAGACTGGAAACATATTACATGAGATTGCTTGAAATGCCTGCTATTAGAGGCCCTTTACAAATCAATATTTACACATTTGTGCTCCCAAAGTCCTTTGTATCACACTTGATTTTTATCTGCACAATAAAAATGATAAAAGATAATAGTTAAAATCATAAAAAAAAAAAAAAAGAAAAGGGATAGACAGAACAGAAAAGGGTATACAAGATGAGTGTAACAGGATGCATGCTGCAACGTGCCGAGTGTAACAGGACGCATACTAAAAAGTGCTGAGTGTAACAGGGAGCATGCTGCAAAGTGTCGAGTGTAAGAAGATGCATGCTAAACATTGCTGAGTGTAACATGGCACATGCTACACAGTGCTGAGTGTAACAGCTGCATGCTACAAAGTGCTCAGTGAAACAGGGTGCATGCTACAAAGTGTAGAGTGTAATATATTGCGGTACATTGCACTAGAAACAAGGAGGTGCATGATATGGAATGTTCAGTGTATTTTGGGAAGCATGCTGTAGTGTCATGGTTCTCAACTGGTGGGTTGTGACCCAAATGTGCGTCGCCGTGTGCCTTACATTGCGCTAGGTGGGAGGCTCCTCAGCCTCCCCCCTAGCATGGCAGGGGGAAGTTCTTGCACCAAGCAGCCATTCAGTATATGCTGCCCGGCACCAAGTGTCAGCTTGAGGTGGGGGTGGGCTAGGGGTATGGCCATGAGGGAGCTACATTCATACGTGAATTGCTTACAGCTCCCTTGTGTGCCCTGTAGAGGCGCCTGGACCGGAATGACTTCCCATTCTGGCTCTACAGGGCATGTAATCTACGTATGGATGGTGCTCTGTCACAGCACAGCAGCCGACATTGGACCCCAGGCTGAGGATCCACTCCAGTTCTCGTAAGGTATGGAGACTGGATAGATCTTTTTTTTTTTTAAATGGAAAAAAAGAAACCTTTTTTGCAGTGTGTTTTGTGTGTGTGCAGGGGCGGACCTACTGGCGGTGCAGCTGGTGCTGCCACCACAGGGCCCAAGGCTAGGGGGGCCCACTGACAGGGGCGGACTGCGCTGCAGTGGCATACGGCAGGCCAGGCAGC